ATTATAAATATAGACATCATAGTGAAACAACTGTGCACCGCATATTGATAGCTCACTGTCTCCACAACCGCGGCTGTCAGTGTTGCCTTCTATGGATCAAATCAATGTACATGCCACAAGCAAAGTTAGCCATAGGAAATAACAATACAATTTGAAAACGACTGATATAGGAAAACCCTAAACTGTGATATACCTTCACAACAACTGCTGTCGGTGTTGAACAGTATCCATTGAATCTAGAAGTTGTGCTTGTCACACCCTTGGTCTAAGAATAAGCCTAGAACACTTTATATCCCCCACTAATCAACTATCCTGTGCTACAGTGACGAAGAAGGGTGTCCGCCAGACGACGAGTACATACTAACCATGAACGATGTGGATATATGTAGTGCATGAGTTGGTCTACAGACAACTTATTTGATCAATAAAGGCGCACATGCCAAAACTATGAAATTCGAAGTGTTGCTCTCTATATAGAGTGTGTTCCCACTGATATTGTCCCGTGCTACAGTGACGAGGTGTATACGCCAGACTACGAATATATCCTCACCAAGGACGATGTGAGCATATGCACTGCGTGAGTTCGCATACAGACGACGAGTATATATATATATATATATTATATACACTCACACACACACACACATATATATATATATTTATACGTATACTCACGCATACACTTAATATATATATATATATGAAAAATTTAGATATATATATATATATATTATTGTGTGTATGTATATGTTTGTCATGTATATATATATATATATATACATATACATATAGAAGAAAATTCTGATATATATATATATATAAAATAAATAATGCATGATTATATACAATGGTTTATTATAGCAGAATAGTCATGAACAGAACTTGTACAAATTTCGGATTTCAGAAAGTGAGACGGGCCATATAGTAGTACACCCGATAGGTTGTTGCTCAATTTGTACTTTCTTTCCTTTAAAAGTGTTCCTCAGCGAGTTGCTTTGCGGTCTCACATTCACCCACAAACGATTTGACATTGAAATTGTTATCCAAAATTACATTCAACCCCATTTTCAGGCCCTTCTCAGACATTATGGCCTGAGAACTGGAGCGCAAGCGGTTGACGATTTTACCGGGTGCAGCAACAATAAGCACCTCCAAAGTTTTACTACGGTATTGTGAGTCACCTAATTTCTTTAACAAATTGCGGGCTTTAGTGCCAACCATATGTCGGTTACCAATTCTGACGATTCGCTGGCCAGGTATTAACCCAGCCAAAGCCGCCGCACTCCCAGGCTCAACACGAGCAATTGTGCCGTCTTCGAGAAAAGAGAGACCTATCGGCCTTTTCTTTTTGAACTGAGAGGTGCTGCTTGTTGTCCCCTCACTGTCATCCGCATACAGGGTAAGAGTATGTTCTGTGAAAATTGTATTTTCAAGGAGTTCAAGTGACAGTATTGGCCTAGAATTTAGCGCAGCATACACTTTAGTGACATCCCCTTGAAATTTCCAGGCTACGATTCCATTAATACTTATGATCTCGTCACCGAAACCAAGGCCAGCTTTATATGCGGTTGAATACGTTGATGAGTGATATTTATCGACCCATGCTACGAACAATCGGTCTTGATGGAGCACAAACCCCGCCCCGAACTTTTCGAAATCGTGGGCCACACTGATCTCACGTTTGAACGGATACTTTTCTGCTTCACAACTCTCTGTACCTGACACAGACTGAGACAGGAGACTATTCTTCCCTGCTAAAACTGAGTTCGTGGACATCTTTTAAGCTTACGTGCTGTGTGAGCACTATGCTGACTTCAACTAACCATACTATGTATATGTAAGTATGTATATATTTATATATAAATATAAAA